TCTGTCCTTGGGGCCACTTCGGTCACCATCATCACCGTTGTCATCCTCCTCCTCCTCATCGTGCCAAGGTCATGGTTGGCAGGAAATAAGAGGAAAACAGGTGCAGGGGTAGGTTCAGAAGAGACCAAAAGAGGATTCTTTACCACACTTGTTTTCATGAATTATAATAAACCGGATTCTAAGCAGTTACAAAACTGGCTGAGGCCCTGAGCCTGAAACAGGTGATTATGGAGGAACACATAATCCACTTCAGATGTTTCCAGTGATGTTTATTGGGCTAGACTGGGCCTGGGTTTACCATTGGCTCCACAGCTGTTTAGCAAAATGTCGAGCACATTCAACATCTATATTTGTTGAAAGACTAACGTGAATGCCTACCAGGTCCCCAGAACAGTGTGCTGCCTCAACTTAATCCTCAGAGCAACCCCCGAGGTCTTAAGCATTGTGCCACGCTGTCTGCAACAGGTGGCTTCATCCCGCAGTGGCTTATCCAAGGCAGATTTGGTTTTAAATCTGTCTGGTGACATTCTGCCCAACCGTCCAATGCGGTGTTCTGTGTCTAGTGAATCCTTAATAATATTAATTGATGAGGGTGCTTTCTCTGTCTGAATGCTTAACCCATGCTCTCTGAATATGATGGAGTTGCAGCATATTTTAATTAAATCCTGACAACTTTAATTCTGATTGCTCATTCTAATACCTCTGAGCTGATAGCACCAAGCTAATGGCTTGTTCATTTTGGAAGATATTAGTAGCAGGGTGCTGCCTATTACCCGAACATAAGATCATGATAATTAAAATCTGATATTTGTCGAAATGAACTCCTTTAAAGGAATTTATATCCCACACACAGATGCAAGCATATACATGCCAACATTCTCAACAATTTACAACACCTTAGAGAGACTCTGTCCATTCCTTTCCAAAATGAAAAGATTTTTTGTTGACATGATGAAAGACTACTTCCTAGGTTCAGGGGAAATGTGTATTTCCACTGATCAATTTCTGCGTTTCCCAGAAGAGGGGAGCCAGAGAGAAATCTTGAAAACTAATGACAGTGGAAGCAGAGTGTATTTGTACTTTATTGCCCCAATCAGAGTCTACACCACTGAATCAGAGAATGAGACAAAGGAAAATCTAATTGTGTGTGTGTGTGTGTGTGTGTGTGTGTGTGTAGCAGGTGGGAGGTGAAGGGCTGAGCAGGAAGGAGAGAGGATATCTGAATACACAAAGAGATTAAATAATTTGGAGAGAGGATCCAAGAAGTAAATATAATATATTGGGTAAACTCATTGCTTTCACAAAGTTGCACTGAACACCTACTGTGCCCCAGGCATTGAAGACACAATAGTTACAAGGTAGCTGTGGACAATATACCCATGGTGCTTACCTTAGAGCATGATTCTAACCAGAGGTTCACGCTTGGGCTTTGGAGGGGGGTGTGAATCCCACAAATTGTACGCAAAGCCTCATGTTTACAGATGCACACAGGAGTGGGCAGCAAGAGACTGGTGCAATTCCCGCCCAGCCCCCAGCTCCACCAGGGACAAAGTACACAGCAGGGATCACAGTCTCTAAGCCTTCAGGTGAGTAAAAACATGATAATAGAATTTGCCTCTTCCCCTAGAAAGGATGAATAAACTGAAGCCCAAACCAAAGCAAGCCAACAGACACAGATTTTTTTTTAATTTTGTAAATTTGAAAAAGTATTTTCTACAAATATCTTAAAAACAACCCCCCCACACTACAAAGGAGATTTTAAAAAGGCCATAAAAATAGTGAATTATAGAACGTAGTTCATTGCCAAGCTCTTGGCATCAGCGTCACATCATTAGAGATAATTTGAATAGGACTCTTTGTTAATCCTTGCTTGACTCTGGGTGGAGAATCCTCAAGTCC